TATATATATATATATATATATATATATATATATATATATATATATATATATATATATATAATATATATATATATATATATCGATCAGAATCTTTTACATTAACCCATTCATCTTTCTATGCTCCAAAACCAACATATATTACATGAACTTTCTACGATGAATTAAGTTAGATGAGAACTTTGTCCAGAAACTCGGTAGTAGCATTCTCTTCATGATTAGTTGCTAATTAATCGAAAAAGACGATTTATGAATAATTGTTATTTCCATCATATTCAAAAGTAAGAACAAAATTTCACTACTCACAATATCTCCAGAACTTAATAACTAAAATGTAACTACTCACAAAATTTAGCCACTCAAAATAATGAAACCCTATCGGAGTAATGCATTGGATTAATTATTCGTTAGGGTTCTAACAAACTATTAGTTTCAGACAGTGATGGAGGCAACATAGAGATATGAGTGGCATCACTCTCATAACATTTCTTAAATCCTTATTATTTTATATAAGATTTAAATTTTCGTCTATGATAGCATTAAGGGGCTCGCGAGAAACAAATATAGTGCATATAGGTCCTCAGGACATGAAATCTTTGATTCTGTAATTCTTTCAGGGGTGTGAATATAATTACTAATAACACAGAGGCCTTAAAGTTATTTTAGCATATTTCAGGGTTGTAGGTATAATTTATCCTTTAGTTTTTTTCTATCTTGGTATTTATTGTCATGGCTGACGAAAAAATGATCTTTATATATGTAATCCTTGACTTTTTCAACTAAAAAGTAAAAACCAACAAGAAGCTTGACTTTGACATTTACTCGTTTACATCTTTTTTTGCTACTAGAAATTTCCACCAATTTGTCAAGATTTCAATTCATATTGAATATTATGGATTTCTTTTTCCCGAATATTATGGATATTTATTCACCTACCATTTATGATTTTACTTAATTATTAAATAGCTTATTAATATTATTTGAACAAAAGAAATGAAAACAAACATAACATTTGAAGTAATTTTTTTGACGAGCTTTCTTATAGTTTAGTTCAATTCTAATTATTTTGTGGTGGAGACAATATAGATTTTGAGAAGAACTATGTCACCCGCTGGTTCTATGTTGTCTCCACAATTTCTTGAAACTAATAGTGTGTCAGAAAACTAATATAATAACTTATTCAATGCATTATTTCATTAGAATTTCTAATTATGTTTCAATGGGATAATTGTAACTACATACCAATACCACATGAATCTTAAAGTTATTTTAGCATACCTCAAGTATGTAGGTGTAATTTACTCTAAATAAAAAGGTGGAGGTAGATGCACTTTAAAATAAATCTTAAAAGCTCTCAAATATAACTTATATTTTGATTTTTTAAGATTTTTTTTTTTTAAATTACCAAATACATTCAAAGAGTTATAAATTTATAATCTCTTAAATATCTTATAAACTCTTTTTAATAGTTTATATAAGTTTAGCCAAACGCTCTCTAAGTCCTATCATACTATAAAATTAATCTCACCCATCTTCCAATAATAAATTTTATAGGTGACGACTAGAAAAGAAAATGGCCATATCACCCTTGTTATATTATGCTCTTGCTTGATACACTATAATTTTTTTTTTTTTCATGATACACCATAATTTGATTTATTTTTAGTCCAAAGTTTATGCACACCAAATATTAACATACTTTATGAATACAACTAAGATATTTATTTTAGAAATAAATGGCTATAGTCCAAAAAGATTTGAAGTTATTTTATCTAGTATAGAGAGCCGAAGTCATAACAACAACAAACAAGATTGAGTCCCAATAAAGATGGTCTAGCAGGTGGAACAAGTAAGTCTAATTAATTTTCCATGTTTGAATTCTCTTGCCACAAGCTATTATATATAACTGGTTACGGGTTCTTTTATTACAAAAAGAGAAAGAGAAAACAAGATTGAATTATTGAATCGTGCATTGTTCTTCTTTGACATACATTTAGTTTGAGATTTAATAAAATATTATAGTATATTTACTCTTATGATTGTAGAAATGTCATTTACATTTTGCAATATGACATATACATAGAAGACGTGAATTCAGAGGGTAAAAAGATACTTTCATGAACCACCAATAAAAATAATCATTGAAACCTAACGATATATGAGAGGATTAGTGGATAGTTCATTGTGCTAGTCTTGGAAACAGAAGATGAAATTGATACCTTTTGAATTAATTCAAATAGTGTAATTGTAGCTAATCAATATCCCATCTTGAAAAGTAAAAAGTCCCTCAGGGATATATTGGAGAAATCACTTTTTGTACTGGATTTTAATAAATTTTATCTTAAATCCCAATAAAACGAACCAAAACATCTTACAACATGGTGTCTGTAAAAGCTTTTACAAATAGATTATGAGTTTTTTTTGCTTATAATCTATTTTTAAGTATTTGTAAAATGAACTTTTGCTTTTGACTCGTTAATATAAGAGACTTTAAACTATACTTTGTTAAACACCCATGACAATGCCTTTTCTGTTTAAGTTGATTTTCCAATAAATTTGCTAACACCCCGACTTTAAAAAATATGGGTAATACGCATGACACCCCTCAAACCAAACCTAATTAGATGCAGGTGACAAGCTCAATTAGATTTTTTTTTTATTAAGTCCTTAATTCTGGAAAAAAATTTGTTGCACATCTTTTTAATTTTTTTAAACCCAAAACTACCATTTAATGTAATCAATAAAAAATTACAGTACTCTCATTCTATTATTTCTCTCTTTCTCCCCCCCCCCCCTCTCTATTCTTCTGCCGCCCAACTCCTCTCTCTCTCTCTCTCTATTTCCCCACCCCAATCTCTCTCATTCACTCGTTTCTTTCTTTTGCTTTTTTTTTCTTTCCTTTTAATTATTAGACCGGAGTTTTTAAAAATTTGCAGCGGAATAACAACAGATCTGCAACGGACGGTGGTGGCCAATTCTGACGCCCTTGTGCGGCGGCGTCGATGTCCCCGACTCGCCTTGGCCGGGGAAGCGACGATTGCAACACGGAAGGGTTGGCGAGATGTGTGCATGCATATGTATTTTCGTTGCTTTTTGAGTGGTGGCTATGGCTGGTTATGATGAATGATGAATTCATGGTATGTGTGCGCTTAGTTGCGTATACGGCGAGGACGGCTTGACGGTGGCCGGTCTACGTTTGCTAGCAGTGCTAGGGTTCCAAATGGCAAAAGTAGGGTTTTGAAAATGACTCTAGTTGTCTACGAGTGTCTGACGGCTCTGTGAATCGAAGAATCGGCTGTTATTGAAAGTATTTTTGCTTGGTTTGACCGCTACAGTTTGGCGGCAGCTGCATTTGGCTGCTAGGGTTGGCGACGGCTGAGAATTATTGGCGGCTAGGGTTTTATAGTACATTATAGTAAAACATAGTACACCATAGTATACAATTGTACTATATTATAGTATATCGTAGTATACTATAGTCTACTACAGAAAAATATGTATATTGGAGTAAAAAAAAATAGCATGCTTTTGTTTTTTATAACTAATATTATGTAGAGAAAAAGGAAAAAAAGAATTCTATTTAATAATATTGTATAAATGCTAAAATGAAGAAAGAAAAGAAAACAATAAAAATATATTCTGTAAAAGAAAATTAAAAAAACATTATACGTAAAAATAAAACTATTAAATGTAGAACAAATAAAATAATAAATGCAGTTCGAATTTATTTAATGCGGATTTTGAATTTGTGAGTGAAAGAATATTTTTAGAATGAAATTTTATAAATGATATAAAACAAAAATTTAGTTAAATTTGTCATTTAATTCTAATAAATTTTGTCGTAAAACCCCTAAAAAAATAAACATTAAAATCAACTTAGTTTATAACTTCTGTTTTTGCAAACACACCTCATTAAATAATTAGTTAGTCAATAGAAATTGGAATGAGAATACATTGATCATTACTCTTGTGTTTACTCAATTTCCCCCTTATTCTCTCTTCTCTCTCCTTGTGAGTAGAGCCTTCCCCGGTTGTTTCCGGCTCCTTCCCAGGCCTCCGATCATTTTCCCTGCTTCTTTCTCTGTTTTTCTTTTTCTATTCCATCTTTATTGTCCATCTCCTGGACATTTATTGTCCCTCTCTCTTCCTCACTCCTTTAATTTTTTATCCCCTCATGGCAGACCCATCCATAATTAATGACCTTGTATCCCAAACAAGTCTCCTCCAATGCAACTCGGAACCCAATGAGTTACCCGACTCAAACCCCAACGAATTCACAATCCTAGCCAAAATCCTCTCTGACAAACCTTCCAATATGGTAGCTTTCAAAACCACCATGCTCAAGGTCTGGAACTCCAAAAATCGTATCCAAGCCAATACTATACAACAGAACCTCATGTCCTTCATCTTTGAAGACCAATCAGAAGCTCAGAAAATCCTCAATCTTTCATGGTCCTTTAGAGAGTCACAAATAATCCTCCAACACTGGCCCCCTGATAAGGCTCTAATGGAGGTTGACATGGACCTGGCCACATTTTGGATCCACGTGTCAAACCTACCAGTCTACTTTATTAACATGTCAAATGCCTTGCTCATTGGGAACAAAATAGGAACTTTCATCAAAGCAGATCTCCACTCAACCGCCCAAAAATGGAAGAAGGCATTTCGCATTCAAGTCCAAATTGATACCACCCAACCCCTCATAGACCATATTCTCCTTCCCTGCCAAGGGAGAAACGATCTTCATGTGGAGATAAGGTATGAACGATTAGCTGATTTTTGTTTTTCTTGTGGTTTGTTAGGTCATAAAATCCAAGTCTGTAAGGTGATGAAAGTCTCTACTGATATGGTGAATCCTCTGCTGAGATTTGGTCCCTGGCTTAAGTCAGAAAACACTCTTGTTCCAAATCCCCGCATGACCAAAAACCCCAAAAATCCACGCCCAACTCAAGAGAGTATTCAGTTAATCCCCTCCCCTTCGACTCAAATCGAAATTGAAAAAACCAAAAATCAGAGAACCACAATGGCAAAAAACTCCATGTTACAAGCCCTAGAATGAATCTTGTTGACTCAGACCACGTGGCTAGCCACAATTGGAAACCTTCTCTCTCAAAAGATTTCAATGATTCTAGTACTTACACACCTAGTCAATCCCAAAACTCTTTTCCCGAAAATATGCCCTCCATGGAAAAAAAAAAATTAACGTTGGGAAAGTGCTGCCTTGACCCTTACCTAAACACAAGGACAAATGTCAACTCCACTCAGATAGAAGAAAAGATTGAAATTTCCCCCTCAAATTCTCCCTCCAAAATGAAAGTGAATACCAAATTCCCCCCCAACCACTCTACTGGGCCACCCTTTAACTGGCCCACTCAAAACTCTTTCAGCAACAACAACCCATGGGCAAATCTCAATAAAATCCCAAAGAAACAAATTTCCAAAATAACGGGAAAAAAAAGATCTCTTCTCTCTTCAGCCCTTGAAAATTCCAAAAAACCAAAAAATCTCATCTTTGATCAGGAACCTCAGAAAAATTCTCCACCAAACGCCGAAGAAAAATTACAGAACACCAAAATCCCTATCAACCTCATAACCCCCACCAACATAACTAAAGTCTAGAGGCACCCACCCTCGACTTGGGATTCACCATATCACCGGGGACTAGAATCTCTTACAATAGACAAATTTTCGTTGTAAAAAGAGAAATGGATGGCAGACCTTATCTCCACAAAATTAACAAAAGCTCGATCAACATAGTGGATACCACTGAAGATCAATCTCCCGAGGTTTGCTCACCTCCCACAAAAAACAGCTCATTTCTGATCCCAAAAGACCCCAAGGGGTCGAGGGAGTTTTAATGGCTCATATCATAGCTTGGAACTGCCAAGGGCTTGCCAAGCCTAAGGCAGTGAGAGCTCTCAGGTTGCTCTTGAGAAACAACAAACCTGAAATTGTGTTCCTAAGTGAAATCAAAACTCCCCATATAGCTGCTATTACCAAAGCCCTGTCCTGTTTTTCCCTCCCCCATTTTTTCTCCGTTCCTCCTATTGGTCTAGCTGGAGGTCTCATTCTTGCTTGGTCCAATTCCATAAACCTTCACATCACCTCTCATAACCAAACCTTCATAAATGCCCTTGTTTTCAACAATGTTGATTCCCAAACTTGGCAATTCATTGGCATATACTGCCCATGCTACCCTACTGGCAAATCTTCTTTCTGGACCTCCTTAAAAACTATCTCCAATACTTTTGACAGGCCTTGGCTTCTCATGGGTGACTTTAATGTTGTCACTTCCCAAAATGAAAGAAAAGGGGGTAATCCTTTTGCCTCCTCTTCCAAAAACAATCTTCTCTCCTCATTTGATGACCTTGGTCTCATTGACCTCGGCTTTCATGGGCAACCTTTCACTTGGAATAACAAAAGAGGAGGTCTAAAAAATATCCAGCAGAGAATTGATAGAGGTGTTGCCAACTCCCTATGGTGCTCTCTTTTCCCCACGCCACTATTCTCCATCTTCCAGCTATCTCCTCTGACCACGCCCCTCTTCTCCTCACCCCTACCCCTGTTTTAACCAATCCCAAGCCTTTCAGATTTGAAGCTATGTGGCTTTCCGATGATTCTTGTAATGATATTGTCAACTCTAGTTGGAACCAACCTATCTCGGGAACCCCACCTTTCAAGCTTCTTTCCAGAATCAAGAATGTCAAAAAATCCCTTAGAGAGTGGAATACTAATGTTTTTGGCAACTGCCATACTAAAATCAAGGAGA